TTCTTTTTGATTTCTCTTGTAAAAAAAGTTAAGTTTAGCATACTTTTATAAATGACTTCATACTTCAAAAGAATAAACTTAAATGCTAACTGAATGTAATGTTCTTGGATACTTAATTGTGGCGCAAATTAAGTTAAATCAAAATTTGTGAGTTTAAATATATATCATATGTAATTAGTTGAACTTAAGAGTGTTTTTAGACCCTTATAAGTAGAACTTAAGTACATATTTTTATGTAATTTAAGAATTCTCTTGTCTTTGAAATATATTTCAAGTGTACTGCTGAATGTACTACAAGCATTTATGGTGAACCGAAATATACAGTGGGGCCAAACAGTATTTAGTCAGCCACTGATTGTGCAAGATCTCCTTCTTAGAATAATGAGAGAGGTCTGTAATTTTCAGTACACTTCAACTGTGAGAGACAAAATGAGAAAAAGAAAATCCAGGAAATCACATTGTAGGATTTTTAAAGAATTTATTTGTAAATCAGGGTGGAAAATAAGTTTTTGGTCACCCACAAACCAGCAAGATTTCTGGCTCTCACAGACCTGTAATTTCTTCTTTAAGAAGCTCTTCTGTCCTCCACTCGTTACCTGTATTATTGGCATGTGTAAGGGCATGTGTAACATCTGTTCACAGCCTCAAACAGTCACAATCCAAACTTAACCGTGGCCAAGACCAAAGAGCTGTCGAAGGACACCAGGAAGAAAATTGTAGACCTGCACCAGGCTGGGAAGAGTGAATATGCAAAAATTCCAGAACTACACGGAGGGACCTGATGAATGACTTGCAGAGAGCTGGGACCAAAGTAACAAAGGCTACCTTAAGTAACAAACTACACTGAGAGGGACTCAAATCCTCCAGTGCCAGGCGTGTCCCCCTGCTTAAGCCAGTACATGTCCAGGCCCGTCTGAAGTTTGCCAGAGATTTTTTTTTTTTTTTCTCATTTTGTCTCTCACAGTTGAAGTGTACCTATGATGAAAATTACAGACCACTCTCATTATTCTAAGTAGGAGAACTTGCACAATCAGTGACTGACTAAATACTTTTTGGCCCCACTGTCCCATTTAAAGTCATTTCTATTGAAACTTGCATGTCATCTATTTAAATATTTGTGTGTGTGTGTGTGTATATATATATATATATATATATATATATATATACATTTTTGTATATACACATTTGTAATGATATTTACACATTTGCAATTTAGTACATTTAATATGAATTAACTGTACATGATAAATGTAATATTGGGGTACTTAACCTTCAGTAAAGCTTGACACAAAATTATTAAAACATGATCATAAAGATACTTTGAAAAATTGTAATAGTGTACTTAGTCTTAGATGTCAGCCCATTCTCACCCCCAAGGCGTCACTTAACTGACGCCTTGGGAAGCATTTGGACATGCTTCAATATCTGACGCTTTAGGCGCCCTTTAGCGTCAGTAAGATGACGCCCTAGGATCGCGTGTACCCTACCCCAACCCCACACCTAAACCTAACCGCGTCCTTTAACTGACGCTTTCCTTTAGCGTCAGTTAGATGACGCCGTAGGATCGCGTCATGTAAGTGACGCTAAAGGGCGCCTAAAACGTCAAATATCAACGCATTCTCACCCCAAGGCGTCACCTTTGACCATGCTTCAATATTTGACGTTTTAGGCGCCCTTTAAGCCTAGTTCACACTACATGATTTTAAGCCCGATTTAAGCCCGATTTGCAAATCGTTGAGTCGCCGACAAGTCAGGGTGTTATCGCGTGCAAATCGCGGGCGATTAGCGGACGATTAACGCTCGCCAATCCGTTAGTGTGAAAGAGCCAACAACGCATCAAAGACAGCTCGCAGACACCTCGCAGACAGGTCACCGAGCTCAGAAAAATATCTAGCCTGCTAGATATCTCGAGCAGTCGCGCGACTCAATCTCAGTGATGTCATGAGTACAGCCAATCATAGCAACGCATGGGTTGAGGACACCAGGTAAATCTTACTTTTTCTTTTTTGCATTTTTTTTTCTCAGAGCAGATCGTCGAGCAAACAGTGTGCAGCACTAGTTTCTGTCTGACGTCCATATTCGCGTGTTGTGTTCTTCTCTGCAGTTTCGCGTCATTTCTGGTTCGTTTTATTGCGTGGTTTTTCGTTACAAAACATGGTTTCTAGACCAGATAGAATCGTGTTGTTGTCAACTCGTTATTTGTTTGATTATTTTCAGGATTTAGACCGTACTATAGTACTGAAACAGCTCTCATTGAGTCACAAATGATATGCTCTTATCATCCGATCGTGATTGTATCTCTATGTAGTGCGTTGTTAACTCGTGTAGTGAGTTACCTCCTGTTGTGGATCAATCACGTTGTGTTGTGTGGTGTGAACAGCTAAACAACTTGAACACTCATGATTTCACTGAGAGCAAGTCATGTAGTGTGAACTGCACAGTTCAGCCCGACATTTTAAAATCATGTAGTGTGAACTAGGCATTAGCGTCACTTACATGACGCGATCCTACGGCGTCATTTAACTGACGCTAAAGGAAAGCGTCAGTTAGAGGACGCGGTTAGGTTTAGGTGTGGGGTGGGGGTATAGGGTACACGCGATCCTAGGGCGTCATCTTACTGACGCTAAAGGGCGCCTAAAGCGTCAGATATTGAAGCATGTCCAAATGCTTCCCAAGGCGTCAGTTAAGTGACGCCTTAGGGGTGAGAATGGGCTGCAAATATTGAAGCATGGTCAAAGGTGACGCCTTGGGGTGAGAATGCGTTGTAGATGTGTACTCTCTTTAAATGCACTTAAGTCCTTTTTTACATTAATGTATTATCTGCAAATGCAGTTTTAAAAAATATATACTTTAATACATTCAATACAGTTAAGCGCATTTCTTTTTCACAAGGTTTTCTCAGGTCAGGGCCGGGGCTTCTTAAAATGGAGGAAATCCATGTGTAAGAGTAAAGGCTAGTTCACTTCTGTCCACTGTTGCTTCTGTGTGCTCTTAGCACAGATTGCATAAAAATTCTAATCTGAGCTAAGCAGGAGATTTGCGGACAGCTGGCAGCTCATCTCATATATGTGAATCTGTACTTATCTTCCCTTTGCTTTCTCGACGCGTCTCTCTCACACATAACACGAACATTAGCGCTCAACTTTCCTTCTCACATCTCATCCTCGAGCACGTATGCTGTTTCTCTTTCATCGTGCTTTTTACAGTCACTATCATTCACTTTTTGCTCTCTCTTTATCCTGCGCTCCATTGGAAAGTCTGACAGCTGCTCTGGGACAGCTTAATGTTTCAATCTCTCAATCGTTGTTGATCCCCAGACCTACATGACGGCATAAATCACAGAAAAGGGGACAGGTCTGAAGCTGTGCTGAAGAGTTAGGATCCCCTCCCTCCATCCCTCCCTCACAAGAGGACAGATCCTCATTATAACGACTGAGGATAAGAAATCATCGGAAGGATCAGAGAGACCCAAAATGCAGATTCCAATAAGCTGAATGTTATGAATTATTACATAAAATGGAAAATAAGTTGTGTATATGACCTTGTTTATGGTAAACCCACAAGAAATCTCCAGATTTAGGCTTGATGCTTTTTAAAATTTACTTATTTTCTTTTTCATAAATGATTTTAAAATGTGTGTTTTTCTTCTCCTCATCATAACCATGTAAAACAGTTTTAATTGAACTGAATTGGGCTTTGCAATGTATAGAATTTTATTCATTTTCAATTTCAACAGTTTCAATCTTTGCCTGCCCATAATATTGTCATCTTGTGTTTGTGTTGAGTGTTGGTCATTCTTTACGGCATTTTTGGGCATTGGTTTTAACTCGATCGGTTTTGTTAAATGTCATTTTTGTAAGACATGTATTTTGTTACATAGCCCATTGAAGTATTGGACTCAGCTGTGCTACATTGTGTATGCTGAAAGCCGAATGACCTCAGCGACTGTTGGTCTTTGAAATTAATTTGAGATTACTGCCTGGCAACAAACATATTTAGTTTGATTACTTGTGAAGTGCTCCCTCTTGTGTTCAGTCTATGAATATAAAAGGCTATTAATGATGTCGCATTTTGGTGTTCCATATTTATTCATTAATTTATTACAGCAAATAGTTTGACTTTTAAGTCGTTTAAAAAATGCAAGTTTGGTCATTTCAATTTTAATTGGCAATAAAACAACCGTATATAAAATGTATATAGGCTAGTCATTTGACATACGTAACATGCATAAGGCTTGTGAGAAAATTATGTTACATTTTTACAGAAATTAAAAGATATCTATATTGAGAAGTAGTTCTACCTCAAACAGATAAATAAAAAAATAGGTTTTAACAGAATAATTCATTCAAAACTACAAGATTCAGATTTCTGCTTTTAATCTCTTTGGAATGGACTATAAACTTTCTTTTAAATTGTTTAACTGTAAGTAGAATTTGTATTTATTTACACTACTGATTGAGGTCAGCGAGTGTTTTTTTGTGTGTGTTTGTTGTTTATAAATTAATACAATTATTCAGCATGGATGCATTGAATTAATCAGTGACAGTAAATACTTTTTTGTAATGTTACAAAATACTTTTTTTATTTAACAAGAAAATGAGGGTTTTCACAAAAATACTAGCAGCAAAAACTTTTTTCAATGTTGATATAATAATAGTTTCTTGAGCAACAAATCAGCATATTAGATTTCTGAAGGATCATGTGACACTAAAGACTGGAGTAATGATGCTTTGCATCACTGGAATTAATTACATTTTAAAATATTAAAATAGAAAACAGTTATTTTAAATTGTAAGAGTATTTCGCAATACCAAGGCTGAATTTATTTACAGAAAAAGAAAAAAAAAATATTCATTTGTCAATATTCAAAAACATGAACATTCATTTAATTCCAAGCACTCCTGAGCAGATCCACACATTCTACCACGTCTTCATTTCTCATTTGGAAGTCGTGGGCTGATGATGACTCTTGTGTGTGGTTATCCCGTCCCCCCTTGCAGGTGACTGGTTGGCTGCTGAACCATCATTCTTGTCCTACTCCTGGGGATTTCCTGTCACGTGACCATATTCCTGCTTCACCTCCACTCCTAGAATGGAACCCAACAAAGTCCAGTCAGAGGGCGGGCTGAATGTGACCCTGACCATCCGGCTTCTCATGCACGGCAAGGTAAGCTGAGCCCGCAGAGCAGTGGATGATGTCACTGCAGAGTGTGCCTGAGGGACGTGTCCTCTCCTGACCCACTGTTTCAGGCCAAGGTGAACCAGGGGTCGTCAGTACCAGTGACATTTTATACTCATTAAATCTCCGGAAGCAAGGACTGAATATAAAATAGAGCCATTTTCATGCGGAAATTTGTCCTTATACAATTCTGAATGGCCAAAATGTTTTGCTTATGCAAAGTTTTTATTGGCTCTTTTTTTTTTTTATTCCTGCAGGAAGTGGGAAGCATCATCGGAAAGGTATGTCAGTGTGTGTGTGTGTGTGTGTGTGTGTATATATATATATATATATATATATGTATATATATATATATATATATATATATATATATATATATATATATTAGGGCTGTCAAACGATTAATCGCATCCAAAATAAAAGTTTGTGTTTACATAGTATACAGTATGTGGGTGTATTATGTATAATTACTTTGTACTTTGTAAGAAAAATTGTTTTTATTTATATATAAAATATTTATATTTATATAAAATATAAATTATATATAAATCTATATACGTACAGTATATGAAAATATTTCTTTAATATATACAAGCATGCGTGTGTATATATATTTATACGTTTTAAACTCTGAATCTAAATATTCAGTCCTTCTTTTTGCTACAGAAAGGGGAAACTGTGAAGAAGATGCGTGAAGAGGTATGTTTCTTGTCTAATTCATTTCACCGAAACCCTTTTCAATCAATCAATCAAACTTTATTTATAAACCCTTTTAAAACAACCAAAGCGGACCAAAGTGTTATACAGGAAATTAAATAAAAAGACAAATAACGAACCGTCTCGGATCTCGGATTTGACGTCACGTCCACACTTCAAGCGTTCTATTCAAGGTTCTATTTGTTTTACGCGTCCGAGTCGGAGAAAAAAATGGACGCCACCCGGAAAGCTGTTATAATGGTAGCACTGACCGAGTACCAGGCACTTACATTAAAACGAAAAAATATTATGACTACACCTTATTAAAACGCAGCCATTTGAACTTGAAAATGTTCACTTTATTAATGTTTTTCATGTTAATCTTCTGTTAGCAACGCTAGCAACGTCAGTAATTGCACTCACAACAACCGATTCCCATACCTACAGGGGACGCAGTAATACGAGTGATTATAACCGTCATTTAAAATACCAAAGCGGTTCAAAAACAATTCATTCTTACAAGTCACAGGGCGCAGCCATCTTGAATTCCGAAACGGAATTCTTTCTCGGTGTCCTCACGGTTGTCCGACGTCCGAGAGGAGAAATCCGAGGAAAGGGGGCGTGTTGCTAGGCAACGTCTGTCGTCCGAATCGGATCTCCGAGACGGATGAATAATAGAACGCACCAATACATAGAACTCTTGTTCTGTTGATATTTGTTTTTCATGTTCATGAATCACAGTGACCTTGTTTTCTATGTCCGGAAATAACAATATAATTTACTTTTTTATTTCACCTTGGGACCTATAAGTGTATTTTTGAGCTATTAAAAGGCTCTTGGAGTCTCTCAGACAACAAGCAGAACAGAAACAAGAGGGTTAATTTGACATTTGGTACCCTACAGAGCGGTGCTCGCATCAACATCTCAGAAGGAAACTGTCCTGAGAGGATCGTCACCATCACTGGACCCACAGATGCCATCTTTAAGGCCTTCGCTATGATCGCATACAAGTTTGAAGAGGTGCTGTCCTGAATGCAGTATTTGAAGATCTCTCTTAACACAAACAAAATGTTATTTGCCAATGTTAATAATACCGTATACTCTACCATTAAAACATTCGTTATGCTCTCTATATTTAATCAAAACATGCAGTTAAAACTGTAATATTGTGAAATATGTAAGCAATAAGGTATGAGAGGCTGTGCTGTATCGTGAATAAGTAACGGCTGAAGGGCATTGTTAGGCACGACACGAAGCGGAGTGTAACACTGAAGCGGAGGTAACACTGGAACATTGTTGCCGTTCACGGTCAGGGACTATTTTTTTCTAGCAGAAGGAAGGCTTTTAGTGATTTTACTTCATGAAAGTTGCACTAATACATATATTAATTTGTTTTTAGTTTAATATTTTTATTGTGTGGTAACCGTTTTATAAAAGCAAAAAGCCCTTCAGCCGTTTCTTGTTCACGATACAGCACAGCCTCTTGTACCTTATTGCTTACTTAAAATAACTGTTTTTTTATGTCAATATATTGTAAAATGTCATTTGTTCCTGAACTGCAATATTGTGAAATAATATTAACATTTAAAATAACTGTGTTTTCTATCTTAATATATTGTAAAATGTTATTTATTCTTGTGATCGAACTTAATTTTTAGCATCATTACTTCAGTCTTCAGTGTCACACGATCCTTCAGAAATCATTATAATGTGCTTATCCAGTGCTCAAGAAACATTTGGTCGAAAACAGTTGTTTTTATGAAACTGATAAATTTAGGATTCCTTTTTTAAAAAGAACATTTTTTTTTTACTGTAACTTTTGATCAATTTTACTGAATAATTTGATCTTTATTGAATAAAATTATTAATTTCTTTCAAAAAATGTATTTCAAAAATGGTAATACACATTTTTGAATAATCTGATTATTTGTAAAATAACTCAGTTTTGATTTTCTTCTCTTTATATTTGGAACTTGACAGACACAAACTAAAAAGATAAGATTAGTCTGGTTTCAATGCACTAACATCTTCACATAGATTAGCTTGCTTATGTAAATGCTTTCTGATATTTCTTCAGGATATAATCAACTCCATGAGCAACAGCCCAGCCACCAGTAAGCCCCCAGTCACTCTGCGTCTCGTGGTGCCCGCCAGTCAGTGTGGCTCCCTCATTGGCAAGGGAGGCTCAAAAATCAAAGAAATGAGAGAGGTACAAAACTGCAGTTATTCTCACAGCAAGATCGTGGATTGCCATTGAATTTACTAGCCTATGCAGCTTTACCAAGCTCACCTTCGTCAAATCCATAAAGTATATCTTAATATGCAACCAAACACATGCTGTTATATCCCAGACTAAAAGACAAGAACACAATCAGCATTGCCATGATTACTCTATAGCAAGGCCCCAATCTTTTTTAGACCAAGGACTTATGCTTATGCAGAAACATATGCTTGCATGCAGATGGCAACATTTGTCCCAGCGTTCCCCTGAGAGCTGTGTGGTCTCAGAGCAGATCACACCATAATCAGCACTGGATGCTCTGGATCATAAACTCTCTCTCTCTCATTCCAGTCCACAGGAGCTCAGGTTCAGGTAGCAGGGGACATGTTGCCTAACTCCACAGAGCGCGCAGTGACAATCTCCGGCACCCCGGAAGCCATCATCCAGTGTGTCAAACAGATATGTGTGGTCATGCTGGAGGTATAGTATTGTACAGTATTTTTAAACGGATAGTTCACCCAAAAATGAAAATGGTCATTCTATACTCCCCCCTCATGTCACTTTGACACACTTTGACTTGTGACACTTGATTTGACAAACCCTTGTGACTTTCTTTACACTGTTGAACACAAAAGGACAGAAAAGCACTTTAAAATGTTAATTGAAGTCAAATTTTTTCATGCATTCATGTCTTTTTTTCCTAGTTGTCATTAAATGGAAGTTGTGATTTGTTCTCCCACAGTAAACGCATCATCAGAGAAGAGATGTCATTGAAAGGGGAAGCTAATTTGATTAAAGATTCACCCTCATAATAAATACTGCAATATTCCAGAAAAAAAAAAAGAATTGTCCATTTTGATTTCATGTCATACCTCGATCATCTGGAGAAACGTAGTACTTCTTTCTCGAGTGACGTATGGCGCTTATACTCAGTGGTGGAGGAAGTACTGAATCTCAGTACTTAAGTAAAAGTACAAATACCCAGATAAATATTTACTTTAGTAAAAGTAGAAGTAACACAATGACAACCATACTTAAGTAAAAAGTAAAAAGTACTTTATTTTAAATGTACTTTAAGTATTAAAAGTAAAAGTACTTGCATAACAATTTATTATCTTAATGTCTATTTTCTAATGATTAATAAAACATTTAATTCTAACTCATTCAACCTAATAGCCTACTCCTATAATGATGTTCAATAATGATGGAAAAAAATGTCACCATTTCTGAAACAAGCTTGCAATTAGGCAATATCATGCTTATCCTTAGTACTATATGTTAATAACTATGTTTGGCAGTAAACGCGATTCATTTATGGTGTAATTCTGAACCTCTTGGCTTGCCTTAATCCTAACCAAACCAAACATATATTACACACGGTGTGTTTCCTATGCACGTAAAAACTAATTTTCGCGTAGTTGCATGATAAACACACTGCGTGTGAGACGCATTTAGTGTGACCGGGTTGATATACTGTATCTATGGCAACCAAACGTCACTGGTGAGACAAACGTGCAACGAACGGACGGTCAGATTACGTTTTGGCAGGGGAAAAACTGATCAGAAAATGTAACGAAAATGTAACAGAAGTTGTAGAAATGTAGTGGAGTAGAAAGTAGAATAATTGCTGCAAAATGTAACGAAGTAAAAGTAAAAAGTAGGCACTATTTATTGTACTTAAGTAAAGTAAAGATACGTGAAAAATGTACTTAAGTAAAGTAATGAAGTATTTGTACTTCGTTACATTCCACCACTGCTTATACTTGATCCCCGCAACTGTATTGTAACTGTTTCAAATTAAGGTCCGTCTCCATCAACAAACGATGGATTGAACCAAGTCCTTGCCCTACATTATTTTCATTACAATATTGAAGAAAAGTTCTGTCACTACTTCCATTTTAACACTACTTTAAGTGGCTATTTGCTGAAATATCCATCTTTTTGTCATCTGCCCAATATGTTGTGGGCCTCAACATCCAATTCATGATCAATTAGTTACTTTTGATTAGATCTTTTTAAAGGATTAGTTCACTTTTTTAAAAAAAACTTTTAATAAAAAAACTGATCATTTACTCACCCCCATGTCATCCAAGATATCCATGTCATTCTCTCTTCAGTCGAAAAGAAATTAAGGTTTTTGATGAAAACATTCCAGCATTTTTCTCCATAGAATGGACTTCAATGGGAACCAAACGGTTCAAGGTCCAAAAGACACGATCGCTCATTTAAAAAAACAAACAAAAAAAACAACAACAAAGTTTACGTTTTATAAGCTCAAATTGTCGCCTTGCTCTGTTCTGTGATGCGTGTTCGTGACTCTCCTATTCAAACTCGAACAGGAGAGTCACGAACGCGCATCACAGAACATAGCAAGGCGACCATTTGAGCTTATAAAACTTAAACTTTGTTATTTTTTTTAAATGAGTGATCATTTCGCTTGATAAGACTCTTATTCATCATCTGGAATCGTTTAAAGCCCTTTGAACAGTTTGCAGTTTGCACTAAAACTGTCTCATGAACCTTGAACTGTTTGGTTCCCATTGAAGTCCATTATATGGAGGAAAATCCTAGAATGTTTTCATCAAAAACCTTAATTTCTTTTCAACTGAAGAATGAATGACATGGACATCTTGGATGACATTGAGGTGAGTAAATTATCAGCAAAAGCCTTTTTCACAAGTGAACTACTCCTTTAATTAGTTGATCAAATTTACTACATTAGTTGATTTTAGAAGGCTTGGAAATGGTACATGAGTCATTTTTTTTAATACAAAAACTTGGTTTTGCATCCTTTTTAAAGCTTGAAAGCTTTAGTCCCCATTCATTGTAATTGCATGGAGCAGAGCAACCAGTGCAGACAGTAGTTCATTTTCCTTTTGTGTTCCACAGAAGAAAGTAAAGTCCGTTTTGGATTGCGATTTGCAAAATAGTTTCCTCAGAACGTATTTCGTGTGATACAGGGTTGGTTTTGGAACAGCCCGAGGCTGAGTAACGAATGAAGTTTCTTTTTTGGAGGGTGAAATCCATTTGTTATGACAATAACAATGGGGTGGATTCACTACCATACACACAGCCACACTCCATTACAGCCACCCTGCCAAAGAGAGACCACATTGTTTTACTTGTGATTAATGAGGAACACAAAGCATCCTTTGGCTTGCTTCCGCCATCTTGGTTTATTGATTTAAATGTTATTCTTATCCACCAATGATGTGCAGGGCTGATTTCCTGCCGAGGTGAATTGTTCTCTGATTGGGTGTTATTGAATGATTTTCATTCTTCGCTTGTACAGACACAGACATATATTTCTAACGTAATCAGATCACCTGGGAAGTATTGTCTCATTCTTTGTGTGTAGATGAAATGTTAGGGTTGTTTTTTACCTTTACAAATGGGCAGTATACTGAACTATATAACTGCAGTTATTATTCTACCCAAAATTCACAGCACTTGATTTGACCTTCCATTTTCATATGAAGTGTAAATAATATCAACCAATACGAATCTTCAAGTGTTGGGGTCTCACAACATACCTGACTTTGTTTTCGTACAACTTCACCACACAAATGCTTCACCACGCACACCTGTCTGCACCTGTCTCCTGGTCTAATGCTGTTTCTGCCTCTACCTCTTCCCCTCTCCTAGTCCCCACCGAAAGGTGCCACCATTCCCTACCGCCCAAAGCCCGCCTCCACCCCCGTCATTTTTTCAGGTGGCCAGGTAAGAGCCGACCCGCTGGCGGCGTCCGCAGCCAACCTCAGCCTTTTACTGCAGCACCAGCCACTGCCTGTTAGTTCACTCAGGTTTTCTCACCTTCTCACTCGCATGTTGTCACACCATCCTATCCAGGGAAATGCTTGTAGAGGGGAAGGAGCTTTAGATTGTGAATGAGAGTTCAAATCTGTCAATAAGGAGAGTTTGCTCTTCTGCCATCACATATTTCAGTGCCTTCTACTCACATCCAAAAGTGAATTTTAAGCAAATATGGAAATGAAGTGAAACGCACATTTTTATTTTGTCTTTCTGGTGTAGTATTATAAGATCTCTTGGAAGATGCTCAAAGTTTAGTTCACTCTCAATCAATTTGCAAGTTATTACATGGATTTCTGTGTAACTATGTGCATTTTGAACTCGAGTGCTTTCATATTTCAAACGTTTTGGCCATTATCATACAAAGTTAAGACATGAAAAAAAAAAATGAAAAACTACTCATGGCCCTAAATCAATTAATTAGGACAGAAATCTATTTTTATTGCATAATTATATTAGTAATTTTCTGAAGCCTTCTGAAGCGCTTCAAAAAGTGGTCAAAAATGCTTTATAGTGGTCTATGTGTTTTAAACTGGGAAAGAAAAACATTTGATATATACAAAATCGTACACTCTTATCGCAAAGTAAACTCCTCCCTCTCAGAGCAAATATCATATCCTTTTAATATTTTCAAAACTTGAAGTGTAACTTCAGTAGAAACTCTAAACGACCTGGATTTGCATTATTTTGAGATTTTGAGATAAAACTTGAAATGTGAAGTTATAAATATTAAATGGATATGCTATCAAACAAAGTCTTCCCCACTCATTCGCTAACCAACACAAAAATTCCACTAATCTAACATTCCATTGATGAATAATAATAATATCCTTTAACAGAGCTCTCAACATCTTTTTAGTATAACTCATTCATGAGCACTTCACGCAACATGACCATAGATGCCACATCTCGGCTTTTACATTAAATGCATCATGATTATCAGTGTGACACTTTAAATTGAAGTTCTCTGAAACATATTACACTTGATTCATTTCGTGTACTGTCTTAAATAGAAAACTTGAAGGATGTTATATATTCATCTATTCAAATGGTTCAGATATAGATTTGATTTTATTGTTGGGTATATTTGCCAAAACAAGGAATGTGTTCATCTGTTAATTACAGTCAGTATTTTAAGCGTACTGTGTGCACTGGCACACAAACAGATAAGAAAAGCCAGAAGGATTGTTGTAAATTTGTGTGGAGAAGCCTCTATTATTTAAGGCACTGAATATTATTACTGTACAACTACTCATGAAATGATTCACATAAAATATGAAAGAAATTTTCAGCTTTTGAAGCCAAATGTTTCTGTAAAATATTAATAGATCCTTTAGCGGTTATGAATCAGTTAGTTCTTGTGTTTAATGGGCCCTGCAGCCTTGGTGAAATGTTGATTGGATTTTTCTTCTTCTTTTTTTCTCTCCGTCTTCACAGGCTTACACAATTCAGGGACAATATGCCATTCCACACCCAGATGTGAGTCCCAGCCATCCACCCCCTTCCCCCCCAGCACCGTCAGCAGTCTGCATGGCTATGTAGTTTTCAGTGTGGACCTCTCTATTAATATTAAGCAGTAATATTAATATGACGTTTCTGATGTGTAATTTATTTGTCGCATTACAATCTGAAAATGTTTTCAACTTCAGCCCTCCGAAATGTAAACCGAACTTCTAAGGACTTGGCCTGTTGGAGGAAATGACACCAGTTTGTAATTTTCTAAATGGACCGCATATAATTATATATGAGACTTGTAACGCTCTCTGTGGTAATTCAAAAGTGACGTTCATACCCAATTCAGTGGTTCTCAAACTTTAAAGACCATCAAGAACCACCTTTGATAATTTTTTCTATCCCCCACCATAACATTTCTGTGAGAAACATAAAACCATCGTTGCACTTCTGGCCTTTTAGGTGTTCTGTGAAATCCTCTGCCAGACGTGTTACATTATTGATAGAAGTATCAAAACCAGGCAAACAGAATTATGTCTCTCTTTTTTTCTTGATTGTCATTCTATTTATAGCAGACACAGCTTGAGAATGATCATCACTGTATCTGTTTGTACCTTACCTGTTGCATTAGTTTTACATGCACAAAGAGGAATAAATTGCATTTTAAAAATGTTTATTATACTTTATATTAAAAAAGAAAACAGTTATTTTTCGCAGTATTAGTATTATGATCAGATAAATACAGCCTTGGTGAGCATAAAACTTCTTTCAGAAATGTTTTAAAAACTATTACAGGCACCAATCTTTTAAATGGTAGTGTACAGTATATATATGGGAAAATGAGAAGGGAAAACAAGGAATAAAGAAAGCAATAAAAAAGAAGTATTTTCCACCTGCGACCAAATTTACAGATTCCAGTTTGAGAACCACTGATCTTTTCAAAATTGAAGCATGCTTACAAGATAGATGATTCTTTTATCCCGATAGCTGTGTTTTCCTTACTGATAATCTGAATGAATATCTTTCAGAGAGAAGGAGAGATGTCGTGTGTTAGTCCTTTTCATTTAAGATTGGCAGTGATTGATGCTTTCTGATGCTTCGGCTGACACTGCAATAACTCAAGTAGAGGTTGGCCATCCCTTTCAACCTTCTTTAAAGTCAGATTTACGGGGAGTACACAACATCCAGTGCAAGTCTGCTCTGGCTCAAAGACTCGTGTGTCCTCTGAAGGTTACCCGAACACTTACATGTTCATATCAATGATAAATAACGGTTCACTCGTGGTTCATTTATAGCCTTCAGAGCCATTCACGGTACATACAATCACAAACTAAACTCACCTTTGATATTGAAACAATGAAATTTAGTGCCTATCATCAAAATGACTTTTGTACTACAGTCCGATTGAGCTTTCGTTTAGCTCCGCCCGCTCGGTTACCAATGCTCGCTCTGGCACGCTTTGCAGAATGTCCTATAAGAATTAAAGAGGTCATGAACTGGCTTTTTAAATTTTATTATTGCATTCAAAAACCTCAAAATGAATAACTAATAAGCTATTTTCTACCCTAGTTTTGAGACCAGCTCAGAAACGCTAAGTTTTTATGGGCATCTCGCACTGAAGACTTAGAAGTAAACGCCCACTGTGAGTGGATAACAGTTTTGCATAATATAATAAGTTTCAACTCACCTTGTCGTTGTACGTGGGGAAAATTGTTTTGAAAACGTCCAATGTTGTAAAATGGCAACCGAAATGATTCGCCCATACATGTTCGACCCAGAGTCCGTGTGTTGCACCATTCCTGTCAGATCCAATGTAGACGGCACAGCACCGTTCTTTACTCTTAATCAGTCTGCAAATCCAGTCTTGTTTACAAAACAATCCTCAGTGAAATGAAGCTAACAGATGTTTTGTTTTGTTTTTTTTTCTCACAATTGCGAGTTTACATCTCACAATTCTGACTTTATTTGTCAGAATTGCGAGATATGAAGTCAGAATTGCGTGATATAAAGTCGCAATTGCGTGTTATAAAGTCAGAATTGCGTGATGTAAAATCAGAATTGCGAGATATAAAGTCAGAAGTGTGAGATATAAAGTCAGAATTGTGAGATATAAAGTCAGAATTGCGTGATATAAAGTCAGAATTGCGAGATATAAAGTCAGAATTGCGAGATATAAAGTCAGAATTGCGTGATATAAAGTCAGAATTGCGAGATATAAAGTCAGAATTGTGAGATATAGTCAGAATTGCGTGATATAAAGCGTGATATAAAGTCGCAATTGCGAGATATAAAGTCAGAAGTGTGAGATATAAAGTCAGAAGTGTGAGATATAAAGTCAGAATTGCGTGATATAAAGTCAGAATTGCGAGATATAAAGTCAGAATTGTCAGATATAAAGTCAGAATTGCGTGATATAAAGTCAGAATTGCATAATATAAAGTCAGAAGTGTGAGATATAAAGTCAGAATTGCATAATATAAAGTCAGAAGTGTGAGATATAAAGTCAGAATTGCATAATATAAAGTCAGAAGTGTGAGATATAAAGTCGCAATCGCATGTTATAAAGTCAGAAATGCATGATATAAAGTCAGAATTGTGAGATATAAACTATTCTGAGGGGGAAAAAAAGTTTTTTCCCCCTTAGAATTGGCCTGATAAGTCGCAATTGCGAGTGTATATCTCACAATTCTGAGAAAAGATGTCAGAATTTCGACATATAAACTCGCAATTATGTGTTATAAAGTCAGATTTGCGAGATGTAACCACGCAATTGTGAGAAAAAAAGTCAGAATTGTGAGATAAAAAGTTGCAATTTTGTCTTTTTTTTCTCGCAATTCTGACTTTATAACACGCAATTGCGACTTTATATCACGCAATTCAGACTTCATATCTCGCAATTTTGATATAAAAAGTCGATTTTATTTATTTATTTATTTTTATTTAGTGGCATAAACAAGCTTCCATAGGTCTGTCATCACGACGTACTGTAGGTCCGTGTTGAAGTAGGAGTTCTGCGGGGGTGGTGTATTATCCTCTTTGACGTCATAGTCCCTCACTTTTAAAAACGAGTCATTGCTGAGGCCGGTGTCAATAAAAGCTTTTATTGGACTAAAAAGGACGTTTCAGTTCTAAAACTTACAGGATATTCTTATAATATGATGACCTCCTAGATGTCAAAAGCTGTCTAAAGGAAAATTTGATTTCTCAGTCCATCACCCCTTTAATTTGGACATTTCTGTGAACAGCGTCATTTTTAATGAAATAACATAATATTAAAATATTAATATTTGATTGGATATTATTGTGTGGTCTGAAAGTCTTATATTAAAATGTAAAAAAAAACCCAGTAACATGCTTTATTTATCAGTCATTTAGCAAAGGTCAGTTAGTGATCAGATGAGGTTAACCCACCAAGTCAGGCCAAGTCCTACTAAAGTTTCAATCTCTTCAGCTTTCTCTTTTGCTCTTCTTCCACCACAGTGTGTCATGGCTTCTTATCCTCTTTGTCTCTTTGTTCTAGTTTAGTTTCTTGATTTCTTGGTGTGACCTGTCGTATAACAATAACCTCTTAGCTCTACTGTCCCTCCAAACCCTCAGCAGTTGACCAAGCTCCACCAGTTGGCTATGCAGCAAACCCCCTTTACCCCCCTCGGACAGACCACCCCTGCTTTCCCTGGTACGTACCCACGAGCCCTTTTGAAGTTTCCTTCTCTTTGTACCTGTAGAGACGCTCTCTCTGTCTTTCTCTCTCTCTTTCCTTCTCGTTCCATGTCAAGCATCATGACATGCCCGTGGTGGTTGCTCTTCACTTTGTAGTTTGTTTTTTTTTTACTTTTTTGGGAGGGGGGTGCTGTTTGTTTAAAAATGTATGTTACTGCTTTTGTTTTGTTTTGTATTGTTTTATTTTGTTTTGGTTTCTTTTGTTTCCTTTTGTCTTAATTTGTTTTCTTTTTTTCATCTTTTTTTTCCCTTTGGTTTGGTTTGGTCTGTGTTTTATTTTATATGGTTGGTTTTTAGGAAAAAGGATTAGTCATAAATTTCAGAAAATGACATCTCACTGTTATACTAACTTACCTTGCGCTGTTTTTTGTTTTTTTTTGTTTTTTTTTTTTGAGGGGTTGACGTTTTCTGAAGTATCTAATCCTGTTCTGCTAAGACCCAGGATAACATTATCATGTACAGGGGACTAGTGTACTGTAGAATTTTATGCTTGAAAGAAATAACCAGTGGCACAAAAAGTGTTTTTTCCTGCCCTTGAGAAACTAGTGTAAGAGAAGCATATCAGTGTTTTGATTTTACAGACCACAACACATCTTCCATCAAGCCATTCATTACGTATTCATCTTGATAAACACTCTAGTCTTATACAAGCTCAGGTTAAAGCTGTTCCTAAGGGCAAACCCAATGCCATGCGCTGAGTAGAACATGCTTAGGTATTCACGCAACACATATCAAATATATGTTTGTGTCAGACCAAGGACATACTATAAGAAAAATGACTCATGACAAAATGTGAGAACCGCTAGAGATATTTATGGTAGTTCGAGGTGAAAAAAAAGGGCTTCATAAAAAGCCTCTGGAGGACTCATAGTTCCTCACACTCTGCACCTGGTCTTCTAAAGCTCACATGTCATAATGAGTGTGTATGAAGTGCTGTTTATCCTAGGCTGTCTCTCGAGCTTCCCTCTGCTCTCTGATCCAGGTCTGGATGCCAGTCCCCCGGCCAGTACTCATGAACTCACCATTCCCAATGATGTGAGTATAAAGATTGATGCTCAGTTTTGACTCCCAGTCCTTTGTCAGAAAATCCAAAAATAATTGCTGTCATAACTGAAGACAGAAATCAAATTCGGTTTATTCGAGAATAATGTCTGATAGAGTCCATGTCAGGTTTTTTTCAAGAACAAATCTACGTCAAGTCTCAAGGCTTTTAAGTCTGAAAATATTAAAATCCCTTTTAAAAAATATTTTTTTACTCCTGCAGGTTAGTTTTAAGTGTAAGTTCATTTATTGGTGGTGTACACGTATCGACGTACACAAAAGTATGATTTTTTTAAATGTTTATTGTCTTATGTGTCTTATGCTTACTAAGGCTGCATTGATTTGATCAAAAATTTAGTAAAACTGTGTTATTGTGAATTATTATTATTAGTTGAAAGTTGAAAACTGTGCTACTTAATATGTTTGTGAAAACCGTGATGCTTTTTTCACGATTCAAAAATGAATATCTTATGATTCATTAAAAATGTCTTTACTGTTGTTGTTTTTTTTATATTGAAATAGAGCATTTTTGCTGAATAAAAGTATTAATTTCTTTCAAAAGAAGATTTCAAACCTTTAAATGGTGATGTGACTCGATTCTCTTTCAAAACTGAGTTTCCATCTCTAGTTTATCCAGTTGGATTCTACATTTATTTGATTTTTCATTCTCATTGGAAAAATTATATTTGCATTTTTGACATGGGTAAGCTGTCTGTCAGAAAACTCAAGCATACCTACTCCATTCAAATATTCCATTGTGAATAGAGGGAATGTATTGACGTCACTTTCCCGCCGGAACAACCCCCCTCAGCCTGACTGAGTGGCAAAAGATCTGCTGTGTGACTGGATTTAATAGGGGAAACTGCGAAAATGCGACTAAAACTACAACAATTTTATCAATTTAAACTAAATGTTGGACTCAATATAGTGTTCCATACAACTTACTAATGATCCAGTGATCCATGGATATTGACATGCAGCCAGGAATCGTGTTGCCTGACATTTATGTTTGCCTAATTTCGACACCGGGGAAATAAAAGCAATATAGACCTAAACACAAAGCAAATTTGCCTGTGAACACTTTATATAAATACAATATAGGTAGGTCTAAAATAATCCGGGTGATCACTTATATCAGTGTTATATATAGCCTATATATCATCATATCGTCCAGCCCTAAAAATGTATAGTTTTTTTTTTTTTTTTTTGGTCAGTGTTTATTTAAAAAAAAAACATCCAATAATGCACAATATGCAATGATGAATATTTAATTGATGAGTTGTTAATCTATATAAAACAATACAAAATATATGGGTATGGATTTACACCTAAATTCAGCATATTGACACAAAAATGATAACTGCAAATCCACCTTTCGCTGACTGGAGTTCAGTTGTTTCTGTGAATTGCAGTGATCCATTTGCTCCTCTTTCTATAGCAGACTGTAAAATATACAGATTTTTTGTCAAATCTAGTTGTACAGTGAATCGCAAAGCTCTTTCCCACTTTCTATGTGTTGTGTTTGTTTTTCGCGGCATTCACGCTGAAAACAAATCCATCCGCTTAGTCTTTTTGCCACTCACTGTGAGTAACTGCAGGCACTCCGGCCGACGGTGACGTCACGCGCATTCTCTCTATACTACAAAACGGATCATACTTTCTGTAACATGAATACCTAAGAACTTTTGCGCTTTCTTCCCAGCTAATAGGCTGCATAATAGGGCGCCAGGGAACCAAAATCAACGAGATCCGTCAGATGTCTGGAGCGCAGATCAAAATAGCTAATGCGATGGAAGGGTCATCAGAGCGCCAGATCACCATTACAGGAACCCCCGCCAACATCAGCCTTGCCCAGTACCTCATCAACGCAAGGTGAGCCCATCCACGTTTCACGAAAGAGTTGGCATGTTCTTCCAAACTGCAGTAACCTAACTTTTTTTTTTAAAAGGTCGCATGCTGTTCTAGCTCAACACAGTTTCTTAATAGAAGCTCATTTAGGGTCTCCGCAAATGCAACAGTGTTTTGTTTTCCTAGCGATGTTTGTTTGGGGAATCAGAGATGCTTAGCAACTCTTTAAAGGAGTAGTTCACTTTAAAAAAAAACAAAAAAAAAAACTTTTGGTGGTAATTTACTCACCCCCATGTCATCCAAGATGGCCACATCTTTCTTTCTTCAGTTGAAAGGGTTTTTGATGAAAACATTCCAGGATTTTCTCCATATAATGGACTTCAATGGGAACCAAACGGTTCAAGGTCCAAATGAGAGTTTCAGTGCAGCTTCAAAGGGCTTTAAACGACACCAGACGATGAATAAGGGTCTTATAGGAGCCTTCGAGTCATGACTCGAAAAAAGATTTGTTCATTTTGATGAACGAGTGCGAACAGGAGAGTCACGAACGCTCATCACAGAACAGAGCAAGATGAGCATTTGTGCTTATAAAACTTAAACTTTTTTATTTATTTTTTAAATGAGCGCTCGTTTCGCTAGATAAGACCCTTATTCATCGTCTGGCGTCGTTTAAAGCCCTTTGAAGCTGCACTGAAACTCTCATTTGGACCTTGAACCGTTTGGTTCCCATTGAAGTCCATTATATGGAGAAAATCCTGGAATGTTTTCATCAAAAACCTTAATTTCTTTTCGACCGAAGAAAGAAAGACGTGGACATCTTGGATAACATGTGGGTAAATAAATTATAAGCAAAAGTTTTTTTTTTTTTTTTTTTAAAGTGAACTACTCCTTTAAATCTGTTCTTGTGTGTGATATTGAGGCTTGCAGGGTAGCGGCCGGGGCGATACTAATGCATATTGCTTTCCCACGGTTCTGATGGCAGGTTCAGAGACGTGGCAGCCATGTGGAATGACCCTTCATCAATGACTACATCCTGAAGCCCCAAACTGCTTTCATTATCTGAAGCTATCAACAGCTGATTCCCAATAATCCTTACACACAATCTTCCCTTAGAACTCACCAATCCTTTCCCTTAAACCCCATGGTCAACTTCATCAGTAGCGTCACTCATGTAGGCAGACTACTGAAATTTAAAAAAAAAAGAAAGAAAGAAAAGCAGGACAACTGTAGTATGATTTGTTCATGTCATGCAGTGTTTCAGTGTAGTATTTTAGCATGCTGAATGCTTGGATCTTGTTATATATTTATTTATTATTTTAAATGAGATAGTTTAGTTCAGCATGGTTGCTGAATAAGTTTTGTAGTTTGACAGCAAAGCCGAACATGGTTTCAAAAATGTACAAAGAAAAAAAAAAAGGATTGCATCCAATAGAATTTTTAGCAATGCTGTTGGCAAGGAGCTAGTGATGTGATGCAGATGTTGTAATGAAGTACAAATGCATGTCAGAAGCGAGGAGATGTTGGAAACTGTGTTTCTTCGGAGGCGGAAAAGATTTTATTTTTACATTTGACTGGCTTGATTGTTTTCAGCTCGAACCGAATCGAAAGAAATGCATGATTATTACTCAACGTGGAGAGCAACGAGGCGATCATTCTTGTACAAAAGTGTTGAATGCTTTCAGAATTATTTTTTATGTTATCTATTTTTTTCTATCTTTTCCTTACCCTCCCCTTTTTCCTCTTCCCTTAACTATTCTAGGCTGACGTCTGAGGTCACTGGAATGGGCACTCTCTAATTTCTACCCATGATCCTTCACTGCATCACATGACCCTTGAGCCAATGGCATTGCACCTAGTTTGTTTTCTCTCTGTACTTTTGCTGTCCTGTATTTTCAGTACTTTGGACTACTTTATATTCTATAATGTGCACATGATGTTCCTCCTACTCAACCTTTGTTGTGCTCCTGATGGTCCTTTACTTATTACCTGTTTAGTTTAAAAGACACATTATTATTATTATTATTATTTTTTTTTTTTGACTCTCTAGTACCTCATGTCACCGTCGTCCAGTTTTGCCATAGCTTTCACTGTGAATTCACATTTTCCAGTCCGTTTTCTATGGCGTGGTACAGCTAAGCCAGTGAAATCCTGCATTTTCATTTAGTAAGACTAAAATTGTAATTTGTATAGCAGCGGTCCTGTGCTTTGCTCATCAGGTACCTTACAACCGTGCATCTTACACATGTGTAATGAAACAACCTGATAGATTTGGAATGTTTGCACCACGCCTGTACGATTTGTTTGCATCTATCATTGTGGCATGCGGAGTAACACAGAGAATACATTATTAGCCGCTTGTATTCACTTTCAGAACAGAAAAACAAATCAGTGTGAAAACAAAGGATATGAGGATGTGTAAGCCATGCTTACGGCTTTACTGCATGCTGAGACATTTCAATTCAGCCCGCAATTTTAGTGTAAGTAATTGAATATATTACAGCAGAATTATTTATAGAATATTTTTATATGCGACGTGTGTTTGCAGTAGCATGAGAAATACGGGAGCTTTATTCCTTTGGAAGTGAATACAGTCCTACTGATAATGAAATCCGCCCCTACGGCCTCTGTGTGTATGGTAAACTCTCATGTGGGGTTCAAAATGAACTTTTTTGCCATATCTACCAATGTTTACTTGCGATAAAAAAGATCTATGCCAAGGGCCTCATTTATAAAGGCATACATGATCGGATTTTATTCTAAATTCCCTTTCATACATCAAATGTTAGAAATATATTGGGATTTTTAAATGCGAAAAATGACGTGAAAAAAATGACTGTATGCCAACTGAAGAGCATGCATATAAACTTTTTGAACTCGTACCAGAATAATGAAAATAATCCAATGTCATTTATAAAAATGTAAAGATAAATAGACAATCGTAATATGTATTAATATTATTATATGATGAGCAACTGCTTTGTGATAATTACATGTCTGAAATGAATTTATTCATTGTATTTATTCATTGTATAGGGACTGCAGGCGGAAACTAGCATTTTTTTTTTTTTTTTGCTATAACCTGGCACATGTCATCTCTTCTTTCTTAGATTAATGAATTTTTGTGCATTGTCCCTGATCAAATAAATAAATTCATCAAATAAGATTTCCTAGGAAAAACAAATATTTTTTTATAAATCATTTCGGATATAGTGGCACGTTCACATTTAGGGGCGGTCACACTACACTTTTCATTCCATTGGCTTCTCTTTCAAATGCATGTGAACGTTGGAGACCGGAAACGCAAACTAATCAGAGCAAGTCGAGTTTGGTGAACTCTGACCTGTGAATTCATATCACGTGAAGACGTGTGACCAGTAAAAATTGGGTTAAAACAACCCAGCATTTTTTAGAGTGTAGAAGATCGAAATGTCACCTATGCAGTAAATTGGAGAAGATTGGATATGTTGAATTTATGTTTGTCATAAAGACGCAGTAGAGTGTGACGTCATATCACGACTGTTGCTCAAAGTTTAGTGTGACCGCACGGCTTTATACGCGCATCTTTATAAATGAGGCCCCTGATAAATTTGCTACATTTTTACTCACATTTGGAATTTGATTAGTTTTCATTTTGGACCCTGCCCTCATGCATTCAGCGACATCCTTCATTGTGACAGTGTTTTCCATATTGCACTCCAAAAACCATATTTATCAGTCGAACCGAAAAGACATACACAAGCTCTGCATGCGTCAAACGAGACTAAAAATGCATTCTCCACCGACAAGTAAACATGCGTACACACTCAACACAGCTGCCAAGACCGTACTTCTGCTATCCATGCTTTTATATTTTCCCCGAGGCCAACTCAATGATAAGTCAGGATCATTTCTACGTATCTCGGGCTCTGGAATGTTCATAGGCCAGAATTTCAAATGTGATTTCGGATTTACCACCCTGGTCTGCTCTTAAACATGATTGTTTCTTTAATACAGTTGTTTTATTACAGTTAAGGTCACTGCATTGTTTTATGATTATTACTGAAACCCTTGATTCTGACTGTAAGTGTGTCACCTCCTGCTGATCAGCTCTAATAATATTTTTCTCGCATACAAAATTGGATTGACTTCAAGCTATTTATGTTGCATGTTTTGCTGTGGATAATTATTATTAAGATAGCCGGTGTACACTATACATGATGCATACATATTCTTTACTGTTATATTATTGGCATCCTAATTTCACCTCGGCTAGAAGAAATGTGTAATTTCTGCGGCACAAAGCAATTGCAATCTGTTTGTTTGAGCAACCCGACTGGCGTAAGTTTTGGGGGGCAGACATGTTCTAATAAATGTGATACATCTCAATAGAGAAGTATAAAAAGACCCTTACTGCATTGAAACGCTTTAAGTACGGAGACCTCTTAAAAATGAATGTGTAGTGCTGTAAATCCCACCTGTTGTACTGTAAATACCTCTCCTTCCTCCAAGACTAACATGTCGTGCCATGCATGGCACTCAAGGCACTCAATTTATTATGCGTTTCCACACAAAATTTGTTCAGTCACTGGTATACCCTGAGGAATTTCGTCCTTTGACTTCCTTTCGAACAGACGGGAATGATTGAAGTCATTATTTTGTTTGAGACCGCTAGTGGCGAACAAATTACACACTTCAATTCTCACCCGACCAAAACTGTCGATGTGGTTTAGCTATAGTTAAGCAATTTATTCCCAGTATTGAAGCCGTCTGATTAGGTTTTAAGCAGAGGTCATGTTGAGTTCCCCTTTTATTCAATTCTGAACGTTTTCAGTCAGCAATCAATATGTATTTCATCCTCCACATTTAAATGTCTAAAATGTGGCATTGAGGCTGAAAGTTGAATGTAACTGCTTCAACATTTGATTCATTATTCAACCTCTAGTTTACCTTCCTTGCCATTTTCCAATTGCACTAGAGGTTTTCTTTCCCAGTCTTATAACGGAAATGCTTTCTCGTTGAGGTAATCGGGTACAAAAGCATGCATTTAGGCTATAAAGATATATATTTCTATATTTTTTGTTTGTTATATCTGTTGAGCAGTATCATACACTGCAGCCAAACCTTTGATACGCACCCAAAAGTTAATTTACACCAAAATCAGACATTCTATGATTTAATGTCCGCTATAAGCGCAGCACTTTTATAATATTGGGATCGAACTCTAAAAGGTATGTACATGCTGAGCCATCCGTGCACATGGCCGGAAATGATGTCATACTGTTGCTTTAAAATAATTCATTTATCTGGAATTATTCAACACGGTATGTTTTTTTTTTAGCGTTCAGTTTCTTGTTGTCATATTTACCATACGTTTGCACTGCTTTGAAATGTAATTTGTGTCAGTCTCTTAGGCTCTGTTATACATTAAGTTAGATTGTATGTTCACACAAGACTATGTCTTGTGATATATGTATGGAATGTTTTATTTGATAAGTTTAGTCCATAATGTGCTGTACTCTAGATCACTATACAGATGCATATTAATATTCAGACAGCAGCATGCGTAATTTTGACATTTTTCAGTAGCAGAATGCTTTACCAAGGGAGGCTGTTGTTATTATTTATGTCTATTGTAATGGCTATGATTTCACAAATGCAATAAAAATAAATGTTCGTTTAGGACTCCAGTGGCGTGTCGAAAATGATTAACTGTTTGGTGGGAAACTCAGTATGGCATTACAAACGGCTTTCTTATTTATATATTTTTGTTTCATCTCTGCCCGGCCTCATGATGTCACATGATGTTTTTCTCATGCAAATCATGTGGTTACTTTGCACTCATAATATTAATACACATTAATTCACATTGTGCACATCTGAAATCATTGCATTCATTTTGTTGGTCATGCAGTTTTTCAATGTACTAGAGCAGCAAAAAAAAAAGAAAGAAAAAAAAGCCCTCTCTACCTGTCTGTCTGTGCTGTGGGAGGGATGTGGGGATGTGGGGTGTGTGTGGGGGGGTAACAGAGTTATTATTTTATGTTGGACCATTTGCTGCTTGCAAGTCTATATTAGATTCAAAATTTCTGCTGAGTTTAGTTTAACTTTGAAATGTTTTGTAAAAAGGAGAGAATAAAGTTTGTTTTTCCCTTGAATTGTTGTGATGCCCTGTTCTTTTTATTATTATTTGTTATTTGCAGGTCATTGGTCAAGGTAGAGAAATGAACCAGGGCTAAGGGCAAAAATTCCTTTTGTAGCCCTCAATCGGGTCATGGGGTCTATACAACCCCAATCGACTTATACTTAATAAAAAAAGGTTCCCTTCATCTCAGTGGAATAAGATTTTGTGACTTTTTATACATTATCTATCTATACACACACACAAAAACCTGGGCTTGATTCAGTTGTTCTGAAGGTGTCTTCAGGGTCAATATGACCCCACAGTGAAATGAATGGCAAATGTGAAAAAACAAAAACAAAATATATTTTCTTCATGTGTCAAAAAAAAAATCCGGCATAAATCTGAAAATTTTTACACAGAAATGAAGGCCTAGTACTAGAGCATAAATGCAATGCATCATAAAAAAATATATATATTTCATATGCAAGCTAATGGTGTAGGAATTGTGTGGTATAGGGATACAAAAGTACTTTATATCTCCAAAAACACAGCATTAATGAATAGATGAGAAGTAAAAAAAAAGATATATTTTTTGTATGATTCAAAATGTATATTTTTTGTACAATTACTCAATCAATTGTTGGTGTCGTATAGACCCCGAAGCCCAGAAGTGTAAACAGGAAACGAAGACCATCTGAAGTTTAAATATGAATATTAAATATGCTTTGACACTTTTTATAATCCTTACCACTAGAGGTCGCTAAATATTGTAATTAGCTTCATGTAAATTAACCTGTATATGGTAGTGCCTCAAAAAGTGTATGCTCAAAAAGAACACTTTGCATTCCTGAGATGCTTTAGCATAACCACAAACAAGCATTATAGAATTGCATTTAAAATGATAAGTTGTCAAGCTGGAGATGTTGCTGAAACATAATCAGTAGCCAGTGGCTATAGATCTCTATAATGCTTTCTCCAATTCCATTTCCAATTCATATTTTCTTTTTCCACTCTGAAACCATTAAAGACCATATATCAAGATCCACGATTCCACTTGCAAGATTCTGAACCTTTATTCATAACTCATTAAGTTTTGAACAAAAGTTTATTGGCTGTCCTCTGTAATTCTTTTGCATGTTCTCTTCAGCACTAATACATTTCAAAGTAATTTTCTTGTAATTAAATATGGAAGCGTGGCTAATCGCCGGTTGATCCTGCCGGCCTTTCCTGAACGCCAAGGGAAGGCTTCAGAAATGGCCCTCGATCAGCGCTGTGCTTCAGAATTAGTCGTTCACTCCAGGGGGAGAGGAGGTCACCTTTACCCCACGCTCCGTCATTGGCCTCAGTTTGCCCCCCTGCTGCCAGAAATAAGCTCAAATTAAAACACCTCTTGATTGCCCTCCCAAAGTCCCTGAACATATTTGGCTGTACAAGTTCCCTGTGGAAAAGAGGAGACAAGGTACAGTCCAGCCAGAGGATACACAGTCCATTACTTCATTGTTTGTTGTGTTATTGCTGTTAGTCTTTGTAGGAATCTGAAACTCCATGCTTTTAATTTGCTGAATAAAACTGACCATTGTAGGATGGATTTCTGTTATTGATTTTGTTTTTGGAAAATTGACTGCTTGTATAATCTCCTGCTGTGGAACTCCATATCCAAAGAGAGGTTAAAGGAGTAGTTCACTTAAAAAAAAAACAAAAAAAACAATTTTGCTGACAATTTACTCACCCCCATGTCATCCAAGATGTCCATGCCAATCTTTCTTCAGTCGAAAATAAATTAAGGTTTTTGATGAAAACATTCCAGGATTTTTCTCCATATAATGGACTTCAATGGGAACCAAACGGTTGAAGGCCCCAAAAGACAGTTTCAGTGCAAACTGTTCAAAGGGCTTTAAACGATTTTAGACGATGAATAAGGGTCTTATCAAGTGAAACGATCGCTCATTTAAAAAAAAATAACAAAGTTTCATTTTGATGAACTAGTTCGAACAGGACAGTCACAAACGTGCATCACAGAACAGAGGAAGGCGAGCATTTGAGCTTATAAAACTTAAACTTTTTTTTTTTGTTTAAATGAGCGATCGTTTCTCTTGATAAGACCCTGATTCATCGTCTGGAAT